CAGCACAGCTTTCCTGCAGGGCAGCCTACATGAGGAGATCTGGCTGCGCCGCCCTCCTGGCTTCACTGGGTCGTTTCCTCCTGGTACACAGTGGAACCTTCGGCGGCCGGTCTACGGTCTCCGCCAGGCGCCACGTGAGTGGCACGACACACTGAGGACTACACTTGCAGCTCTTGGGTTCTCGCCTTCTACTGCCGACCCGTCGCTGTTTCTGCGCACCGACACTTCACTGCCGCCGTTCTACATCCTCGTGTACGTTGACGACTTGGTCTTTGCCACTGCTGACACTGAGGCTCTTGCCCACGTGAAGTCGGAGCTGCAGAAGAGACACACGTGCACAGACCAGGGTGAGCTGACAAGCTATCTTGGCTTGCGGATCACCCGGGACAGAGCACGCCGCACCATCACACTGACTCAGTCACACATGGTGCAGCAGGTCCTTCAGCGCTTCGGCTTCACCTGGTCCTCGGCACAGGCCACTCCTCTGGCTACAGGTCACTCGCTCTCAGCTCCACCTTCGGACGAGTCCGTAGAGCCGAGTGGTCCTTACCCAGAGCTAGTTGGTTGCCTCATGTACCTGATGACTTGCACTCGTCCTGACCTCGCGTACCCTCTTGGCCTTCTGGCTCGTTACGTGGCTCCTGGTCGGCACCGAAAGGTGCACATGGATGCTGCTAAGAGGGTACTGCGTTACTTGTGCAGTACATCAGGCATGGGGCTCGTGCTTGGAGGGAGGCGCTCAGTTGTTCTCACTGGGCACTCAGACGCTTCTTGGGTTGACGACCAGGCCACTCAGCGGTCGTCACAGGGTTACACCTTCAGCCTTGGCTCTGGTTAAGTTTCTTGGCGTTCTACTCGCTCGTCTTCAGTTCTCAGCTCCAGTTGTGAGGCTGAGATCTACGCCACAGCCATGGCTGCACAGGAGCTACGCTGGCTGACCTACCTGCTGACCGACTTGGGAGAGCGGCCTAGTTCTCCTCCAGTGCTGTACGTCGACAACAAGGCTGCCATTGCCTTGTGTCAGGAGCACAGACTGGAGCACAGAACGAAGCACATCGCTCTCCGTTACTTCCTGGCTCGAGAGTTGCAGCAGCGCGGTCAGCTTCGTCTGCGTTACGTGGCCACTCAGGCCAACACCGCTGATATATTCACCAAGGCACTTCAGCCTGGTGATCATCAGCGCTTCTGCCCTATGCTGGGGCTTGTGCCCACTTTTCCTCACTTGCTGTAGGCTTTGTCTGTACTGTGATCTCTCTATATATACATACCTGCCTGTTTGCTTTGCTAGGTTGAGATCACCTTACTGTTTGTGTTGCATATATGCCTCTGCATGTGAACTGGCCCTGTGGCCCTTTACTTGTGCTCAGAGTGTGTGGTGACGTTGTGATCCACCCTGAGCTTGCTTTGCCTTTCTTGACTGGTCTTGTGACCCCTTGCTCTCCCCCACTTTGCCTATGGGGGTGTGTCAAACATTATATATATATATATGTTATTGCTGTGTAGTCTATAGTGGGTTACCTTTAGGGGGTACACAACTCTAGGGTTTCATACTTGTACTCCAATGTTTCATAGTTCAATCACTTCTTCTTTCTGACAGTTAGTTGTACTCGTCGCCCTCGTCCTCCACCTGTCCCCGGCATGCACACTATGGCACCTCGTCCTTCCTCTATTCCATAGCGTGTTGCTCTGCCGTCTCCTCTGGCGTCCTCTCTTTCCGATGTTCCTGACCCTGAGTCCGACCTTCCCCCTGCTACTCGTCCTACCGTCATTCGCTTCTTGGTTACGCTTATCATTGACTCTACTGATGCTGCGTCTGCAATAGTCACTGAGCTCGTTGACTTTGCTGCTACATGTCGTCTCGACTACTTCGAGAGTCTTGTTACTGAGTCTGAGTCCGACTATCCTCCATCTTTCCTTGAGCTTGCCCTTGACAGTGACGTCCTTGAGGACAGGAAGTTTGAGCTTGTGTGCCTGGCGGCTGCTGTACCTCATCTCGCATCCATGCTGCTTTGCCCTGAGGGAGACCCGGATGCATTAGACATCCCTACATTACACTCTTACACAGAGGCGATCACGGGTGAGTACACCTCTCAGTGGCGGACAGCCATAGATACAGAGATGGCTTCCTGAAAGCCCACAGGCACATACGACGACGAGGTTCCCCCTCTTGGGGCGAACATAGTCGATGGCATGTGGATTTTCAGAATGAAGCGGCCGCCAGGTTCTCCACCTGCCTCCAAGGCGTGTTACGTTTCTCGATGCTTCAGTCAGCAACAGGGGGTAAACTTCTTCCAAACCTTCTCCCCCACCTCGAAGATGACTACTCTTTGGGTATTACTGCACATTGCAGCACAGCATAACTACGAGCTGCACTCCCTCGACTTCTCCACAGCTTCTTGCAGGGCAGCCTTCACGAGGAGATCTGGCTGCGCCGCCCACCTGGCATTACTAGGACGTCCCCTGAGGGTACCCAGTGGAGCCTCCGGCGGCTAGTCTATGGTCTCCGCCAGGCGCCCCGCGAGTGGCACGACACACTGAGGACGACACTTGCGGCTTTTGGGTTTGCTCCTTTGACTGCTGACACGTGGTTGTTTCTACGCATTGACCCATCTCTGCCGCCGTTCTACATTCGCGTGTACGTTGATGACTTGGTCTTTGCTACTGCCGACACTGAGGCGCTAACCCTTGTGAAGGCGGAGCTGTAGAAGAGATACACTTGCACTGACCTGGGAGAGCTGCGTAGTTATCTTGGCTTGCAGATCACCCGGGACAGAGCTCGGCCCACCATCACTTTGACTTAGTCACACATGGTGCAGCAGGTCCTTCAGTGTTTTGGCTTTCAGTTCTCCTTGCCTTATCGTACTCCTCTGCATACAGGCCACTCGCTCTTAGCTCAGCCTTCGGACGAGTCCGTAGAGCTGACTGGTCCGTATCCAGAGCTTATGGGATGCCTCATATACCTGATAACGTGCACCCAACCTATCCTCGCGCACCCTCTCAGCATCCTTGCTCGCATTGTTGCGCCCAGGAGACACGGGAAGGAGCACTGGACAGCTGCACACTTGTGCAGTACGTCAGGCATGGGGCTTGTGCTTGGAGGACGGGGCTCAGTGGTACTTTCAAGACACTTAGACGTTTCTTGAGCTGACTTTCGGACGACTCAGCGGTCGTCACAGGGTTACTCTTTCAGTCTCGGCTCTGGTTATGCCTCGTGCAGGCCCACTCGTTCGTCTTCTGTGCTTGGTTCGAGTTGTGAGGCCGATATCGACGCTGGGGTTATGGCTGTGCAAGAGTTACGCTGGTTGGCCTACTTGCCGAATGACTTTGGTGAGCGGCCTCGTTCTCCTCCAGTTCTATACGTCGATAACAAGGCCATGATTGCCTTGTGTTGGGAGCAGAGACTGGAGCACATACCGAAGCAAATTGCTCTTCGTTACTTTCTTGCTCGAGAGTTGCAGTAGCGTGGTCAGCTTCGCCATGCTTACGCGGTGTCTCGGGCTAACACTGCTGATGTCTTCACCAAGGACCTTGGGTCTGGTGATCATCAGCGTTTTTGCACTGCTCTAGGCGTGTGCCTACTCTGCCTCACCTGTTGGCTGCTTGACTTTGCTTGTACTGTTATCTATAGATACATATATATATATATGTGTGTGTGTATTTATACCTGCATGTGTGCTCTTGCTAGGTGGTGATTACTACACCGCTTGTGCTATTATAACTTTGGATGTGAGCAGGCCTTGTGGCCGCTTGCTTGTGCTCAAACTGGGTGGTGATCTTGAGATCCACCTTGAGCTTTGATTTGCTTTGTTCTCTTGCTTGACTAGTCTTGTGACCGTTGGTTGTTCTTGCTATCCCCCACTTTGCGAAGAGGGTGTCTCCAAATATGTTATATGTTGTTTAGGATGTAGTGAAGTACAATCAATTAGGGTTAGGAATACTTGTACTATCCCTTCATGCTAATGAACTCACTCTTGCATGCTAGTTCTGGCAAAGTCGTGCCATTTGATTGGTCAGGCAACTTCTGGTAAAAATATCTTATATATTACACATGCATCAGGGGGGTTCAAATCCTAGCGAGGACCCTGGCGTTGTCGTATTTCGTTAGAAGCTTCGCACTTGGCGCCAGCTCAGTTCCGTTCAGGAATAGACTAGCGGGTTCCTGCCATTTTTACGAGCAGATGGGGTATATGCACAAAGCAGAGCGCATCGACCGCTGCATTGCAGTTTGTATCTTTCCAAGATTTGGGATGAGTAAAAAACGAGTTGTCCCAAACCGGGAATCTGCCCTTCGCTGCTAATGTGTGCCGTACGGGATGAATGCGGAGTTGGGTTTGTTCATGTGTTGCGTTTCGTATTCCCGTCACAAATTCCGCCCGTGAGCCACACGGGGTTGTCGCTTCTTGCCTTCGCTAGCTTGCAAGTTTCGAAATTCAGTTGAACCTCAGCCTGCTTAAAGCCCGAGGTCAGCATGGCAAAGCGTTTTTTGTTTCTAGGGTTTTAAACACTAGCTGGAAGAGTAGCGAGAATTGTTTTCGTTGAGAGTACCCTGGCGAAGCAAAACACATGTTCGCCGCACATGTTTGTATTCGACAAAAGGTGATTTGGCGACCAAGCATACGACCCGTCAGGTGCCAAGGAGCGCAGCCAATCAGGATGGTGGAATTGATAGCTCAAACAAGCACAAGCAGGGCAACCAATCAGGGTAGGGACAACAAGAAAACGGGGGAATACAACTCGGTGATGGGATGATACAACTCGTGAGTCAAACAGTTCACGTGCAACCCGCTTACCAACCTTACTAGTAGGACTGGAGCAGAGTAAGAAAATCGGTGCGACAGAACAGCTAACAACTCATTCAGTCGCTTTAGAATCTGACCATCGCACACCAGCTAGGGTTTTTTAGTGAACACAATTTACGTTACTTGAATTAGTAGGTGCAGCGCGTATATGCAAACGAAAGGAAGCGCAGGCGCAAGATTCGAGTGTGAAGCACGGAGAAAATGGGTGTGAGGAGAAGAGAAAGGGTTGCTTTGCCTACCTCGCGACCCTCGCCCGTCGCCCTTGCTTTCTCCGCCCACTGCCCTCGCCCCGCCTGTCGCCCTCGCCACCTCGTCGCTCGTCGCCCTCGCTTCCTCCTCCCGCCCTCGCTTCCTCTGCCCGCGCGCTTCTCCCATACCATCGACCTCGCTTCCCTCGCCCATCCCCCTCGCTTCCCCCGCCTGTCGCTCTCGCTTTCCCGGCCTACCACACTCGCCTCTCCCTTCGCCCTCGCCGCCTCCCCGCCCGTCGCCCTCGTCTCCTCCGCCCATCTACTTCGCTTTCCCCCGCCCGTCGCCCTCACTTCCCCGCCCCATCGCTCGCCCCTTCAATCGCTGCTGCTTCCTTTTTGCAGAGGCCACTTTCCCTCTTCTCACTCTCCGTTTTCAGTCGCATCTCCCAATCCGCCCACGTCGCAACTTGCATTCCTGCCTCATGTCGTTCTCGCTGCTCAGATTCTACAGCAGTTTGCGCTCAGTCTCCCCCCACCCTTCACACCCCAGACTACGCTCGAATTTCCCCCTTGATTGTGCTCGGTTTCCCCCCCTGATTGCGCTCATTTTCCCCCCTGGTTGCGCTCGGTTCCCCCCCCTGATTGCGCTCAATTTCATTCATAAATGTCCTCTGGCATCCTCCTGCGTACCCTCCCCCCTTTTCTATCACTCCTTCACCCTCTCCCCTCTCTTTCTATCTCTGTCGATCCCTCCCCCTCTCTTTCCCTCATGTCCCCCCTCCAACCCCGATTCCTTTCCCTCCTTGCCCTCATGTTCCCCTGTTTCCCCCCCCTGGTTCCCCTGTTTCCCCCCCCTTGGTTCCCCTGTTTCCCCCCCCTTGGTTCCCCTGTTTCCCCCCCCCCTGGTTCCCCTGTTTCCCCCCCCTGGTTCCCCTGTTTCCCCCCCCCTGGTTCCCCTGTTTCCCCCCCCCTGGTTCCCCTGTTTCCCCCCCCCTGGTTCCCCTGTTTCCCCCCCCCTGGTTCCCCTGTTTCCCCCCCCCTGGTTCCCCTGTTTCCCCCCCCCTGGTTCCCCTGTTCCCCCCCCCCCCCTGGTCCCCCTGTCCTCCTCTCTTCCCCCTGTCCTCCTCTCCCCCCCCTGTCCTCCTCTCTCCCCCCTGTCCTTCCCTCACCCTCCTATCCTCCTCTCTTCCACCTGTCCTCCTCTCTCCCCCCTGTCCTCCTCTCTCCCTCCTTTCCTCCTCTCTTCCCCCTGTCCTCCTCTCTCCCTCCTATCCTCCTCTCTTCCCCTTGTCCTCCTCTCTCCCCCCTGTCCTCCTCTCTCCCCCCTGTCCTCCTCTCTCCCCCCTGTCCTCCTCTCTCCCCCCTGTCCTCCTCTCTCCCTCCTATCCTCCTCTCTTCCCCTTGTCCACCTCTCTCCCCCCTGTCCTCCTCTCTCCCCCCTGTCCTCCTCTCTCCCTCCTATCCTCCTCACTCCCCCCTGTCCTCCTCTCTCCCCACTGTCCTCATCTCTCCCCCCTTTTATCATCCCTTCCTCACTCCTCTCATCCGTTCCTCCCCTCTCTCATCCATTCCTTCCCTCTCTCAGCCCGTCCTCCCCTCACTTGTCCTTTTTCAACCCTGCTATTGTCTTCAACAGGCATGTAACTCGGAAGTGCTTGGGTGGTTTCACGACCATGTAACTCTATTTCATCGTTGCGCACTTGTGCGTTTTGTCCCAGTTCTGCGGTCACCAGTGCGTGACACTGGGCGGAAACCTGGATGGTGCACTATCAGCCTCTGAGCGGCTTTCTCGATATTTTTGTCTGTCTCCGTTTCCGTCTTGCTTGCCCTCTGTTTTGACTGTGCCTTTCGCTCATTTCTCCTGCTTGCACTCCGTGACTCACCTGTGTTCCCTTCCTTCCCTGTCCAGTCCTTCCCACCTTCCCTAACATTGTGAGCTTTGCTTTACAGGATGGAGCAACGAAGTAAGATTTGATTTCATTTGAGGCTACTCGGTGCCCTCATTATGCCCTCATTGATACTGTACTCAAGGTGTTGTTCATGCTGCTGTTATGGTAGCCTCAGTTAGTTTTGTTTGTAACCCTTTTACAGTAGATCAGGATACAAAACAGGCGATAAGATGCAAACCTTAGACACAGGTATACTTTACGGTATTTGAGATCTAACTAAACATGACATAAGCATGCAGTATCAGTGTACAAGACAAGCTCGAACCATTACGCTGGTCTTGTGTGTTTCCATTATGAATCTGCAAGCTGTCCCATTATGCAATGTGGCTCGTCTGGGCCATTGAGATGCTGAAAGCAGGAGCAATCGGAGGCGGCATGTCCATGCAGGTCGTCTGGGCCTCTGTCATGCTCGCCTGGGATGGTGCAGGGTGAGGGATAGGACAGGGCGGGGTGAGGGGATAGGACAGGGCGGGGTGAGGGGATAGGACAAGGCAGGGTGAGGGGATAGGACAGGGCGGGGTGAGGGGATAGGACAGGTCGGGGTGAGGGGATAGGACAAGGCGGGGTGAGGGGATAGGACAGGGCGGGGTGAGGGGATAGGACAGGGCGGGGTGAGGGGATAGGACAGGGAGGGGTGATAGGACAAGGCGGGGTGAGGGGATAGGACAGGGAGGGGTGAGGGGATAGGACAAGGCGGGGTGAGGGGATAGGACAGGGCGGGGTGAGGGGATAGGACAAGGCGGGGAGAGGGGATAGGACAAGGGAGGGGTGAGGGGATAGGACAGGGCGGGGTGAGGGGATAGGACAAGGGAGGGGTGAGGGGATAAGACAGGGAGGAAGAGGGAGGCGGAATGGGGTGGGGCAGAATGGGGTGAGGCAGAATGGGGTGGGGCGGAATGGGGTGGGGCGGAATGGGGTGAGGCAGAATGGGGTGGGGCGGAATGGGGTGGGGCGGAATGGGGTGAGGCGGAATGGGGTGAGGCGGAATGGGGTGAGGCGGAATGGAGATGGGAAGGAAGAAAGGGTGGAGATGAGAAGGGAGAAAGGGTGGAGATTGGGTCGTTGCGTGTGTGTCGACAGGGGAGTGAGCGGACGCGATGGGGGGGTGAGCATGGGCGACGGAATGGAGTGAGAGCGTGCGACGTCCAGGCAGTGAGCGTGGGCGACAGATGGGGAGAGAGCGTGCGCGATGGGGAGGAGTGAGCGTGGGCGACGAGAGGGAGTGAGCGTGGGCGATGGAGGGGAGTGAAGATGGGCGATGGGGGGGAGTGAAGGTGTGCGACGGAGGAGACCGTCACGACGGGAGGGGAGTGAGCGAACGCGGCGGGAGGGAGTGAGCGTGAGCAGCGGAAGGGGAGTTGTTGAGGGCGACAGGAGGAAGTGTGCATGGGCGACGGAGGGGAATGAGCGACTGTCGGGGGTGAGCAGGGAAGCAGGGATTGGGACACGTGAAATGAGCAGAGAAGGGGATGGGGGGAAGCAGAGAAGGGGACATGGGGAAGCAGGGGAGGGGACACGGGGAATCAGGGAAGGGGATGGGGGGAAGAAGAGAAGGGGACACGGGGAAGCAGGGAAGGGGGTGGGTGGAAGCAGGGAAGGGGATGGGGGGAAGCAGGGAAGGGGACACGGGGAATCAGGGAAGGGGATGGGGGAAAGAAGGGAAGGGGACACGGGGAAGCAGGGAAGGGGATGGGGGGAAGCAGGGAAGGGGATGGGGGAAAGCAGAGAAGGGGATGGGGGGGAACAGGGAAGGGGATGGGGAGAAGCAGGGAAAGGGACATGGGGAAGCAGGGAGGGGGATGGGGGGAAGCAGAGAAGGGCGTGGGGGGAAGCAGGGACGGGGACATGGGGAAGCAGGGAAGGGGATGGGGGGAAGCAGGGAAGGGGATGGGGGAAAGCAGGGGAAGGGACATGGGGAAACAGGGAAGGGAACACGGGGAAGCAGGGAAGGGGATGGGGGGAAGCAGGGAAGGGGATGGGGGGAAGCAGGGAAGGGGACATGGAAAAGCAGTGCGGGAAGCCCAGGGGAAACAGTGAAGAGAATGGGGGGAAGCATTTCGTGGGGAGCGGGGGAGATGCCGGGGAGAGAGCTATCCGAAGGACGGTGGGGAGCCCGGAAATGGTGTGGGGAAGGAGAGAGGTAAGCGGTGTGGAGGTGAAAGGCGATCATTAGGGGAAGGGCCACCGTGTGTGTGGGTTGGAAAGGGGGCATGACTGGTCCAAATGAGTTGGGAAGGGAGATGGGAGGGATGGCGACATTGACGGAGATGCCAGGGCGACGAGGGGAGAGATACGGGGATTGCGAGGGGACGAGCGGGAGGGAGGGTGATGAACGGCAGGGAGCGCGACGAGACAAAGGGGGGCAACGGGCGGACAGGAGCGCGACGAGGGGAAGGTATGGCGGCGGGTGGTCGGGTGGGCAATGGGAGGAAGGGAAGGTGACGAGACGAAGGGAGGGTGACGGGCGGAAGGGATGGCGACGGCGGAAGGGAGGGCGACGGGCGGAAGGTATGGCGACGGGCGACGGGCGGAAGGAATGGCGACGGCGGAAGGGAAGGCGACGGGCGGAAGGGAAGGTGACGGGCGGAAGGGAGGGCGACGACGGAAGTGAGTGCGAGGAGCACTAGGGAGAGCGACGGGCAGTAGGGCGACGGCGGGAGGGAGTGCAGGCACGCGGAAGGGAGTGCGACGGGAGGAAGCGGGTGCGTCGAACGTACATGTGAGGCAAGCGCCCGATCCGTGCACTTCGAACGTACATGCATGCGCCATCGTCCCTATAGAAATGGGCGTGACGAATGACGTTTTTCTTTATGCTGGCAAGTATTATTTTTGTTGTTGGGAACAACAAACAGGCTTCTGCAAGGATACTGACATCTCGCTGCCATTGTCTAAATGCGATCTTACGCGCTCTTGTGGTCCTGAACAGCGGAGCGAACTACGTGTTTTAGACTCAATATGGCTGCACATAGTACAACTTGGTTTTCAAGTTTACTGAATGTGAACAGTGGTCCGACTCCCGTTGACACTTCACGCGGAATACTTGTTTTGTCGCTGGCCAATCATGCATCAGAGTTGTGAAGCCTCTCCTCTGTGAGGCGACGGAGAGCTTTTCTTCGGGTGGTAACCTGGTTTTTGGCGAGTTCATATTCAAGAATCTTGAATTTGAAAACTGCCATGTGGAACTTGGGGTTAACCCCCAACCAGCCCATACCTGGCATTATCTAAAATTTTTAATTCAGGTCTGGGGTTTTAACAATTCACTTATGCCTTCGCTCAATGTATTCACTTAGTGCAATCTTGCAAGTACTAGGGTGTTGATTAGTGGATGTAGAGCACATTCGTGGCCCGTGTCAGACTTCAGGTCAAAAGCCCAGTCTCCAATTTGGCTCATCCGAACTCGAATTTGCCACACAAACGAGCCACTTCAGGGCTTCCGAGCCTCCACTTCGGGTCTGACCTGATGCCTGACACAGGCTACGAATGTACCTTGTACTGTAGTGTTGATTGAGTTTGCCGCGACTTCTGGCCCAGAATGTGCTAGGTTCCACTCAAACGCAAAGAAGGGCTATTTTTGGGCAGCTCAGCCTTCCAAACTTCTGGCCGTTATCAGTCGACAGGTCGGCTGCTCCAGTTCTGTGTTCGTTTTGTCCGATACAGAACAGATCTTATCCGCAGTAGACTCGGTTCGATTGCTTTATGACCTGGCCCAGACCGCCTTTGATTGCCTCGATCAGAGGCGATCAATAACTTCCAGGAAGCCCCTATGCCGATTTCAGGCAATCAGGGGCAATCAACTGATCGCGATCAATTAATCGCCCCAACTCAATCAACCGCCTCAAACACCCCAATCAATCACGATCACACACAATCAGTCACGATCAGTTGATTGCATGGGATGGGGATCCTTACGACGCTTGCGAAACAGGTTACAGTTTCTCGTTGAGATCGGCACACAATCGCGCAAACATTATCTTAAGTGTAATTTGCGATATTACGTGGAAACAGAAAATTCGCAACGTCTTCGCACTCGCCAAAATTGGGACGAAAGAATCAGGAAATGCAGACACGCTTGCGAGGCAGGCGCCTTGAGTTTTCCAGGAATATCAGCATTGATCAGGCGGCGCGAGCAATGCAATCAGAAGCAACCCGATCAGATCCAACCCGATCAGATCAGCGCCGATCAGAGGCGGTCTGGGCCACGTCCTTAGAGTGCTAACCTCACGATTCCTGACGTTTTTGGTGTACGTTACAGCTTGACCCATCGAATTAGCAGGCCGTCAATTGCAATTTTTCCGATTTCCGTGTGCGGCCTGTTAGCAGATCGGGGCGATCTGAGGCTGATAGAGTGGGGAGCCTTCTGTTACGACACTCAAAGGCTGCAGATCCTCCTTGAAGTTGCCTCGTGAAGCAGCTTCCACCATACGACTGTCTTCGTATTGCGTCTGTGTTTCTTGGGGGCATGGCGCGTTTCTATCCCGTGTCAGACATCAAGTCATGCGGCCTTAGTCTCCAATTTGTCTCTTCCGAACTTCCAATCGCCCCAAAAATGAGCCACTTCGGGTCTTCCGAACCTCCACTTCGTGTCAAACCTAATGTCTGACACGGGATAGAAACGCTCCCTTATTGAGCTTGGGGGTGGGGAGAGATATGAAGGTGGCGGAGTCGTTATGTGGAACATTGGGCCTTAATATTTACCCTCGGGCAAGAGCCCAGCCCTAAATAATGACGACATCCATGAATGCACCCTTTTCGTACCAGGGACGCACCACCAGAATCCAATGAGGCAACCCAACACTGTAGCTAACGTGAAACTACACCCTGTTTTTCGCTATTGTTAATGCCGGTATACTGAACCATGTGGCTCATCGCGCCAAATTACGCGCTATAGTCAACTTTTGCACCAGTTCGGTTTGACGAGGTCAGCTACCTTTTAAGACGGTCGGTTGAAATTTTAATATGGCTCGGTAGGGTACCCAGGTTAACGAAATTTCGGATCACCCGCCTCCTAGAGACGGTTATTGTAAACTTTTCGAATACGTCCAAGGAACAATTCCACTGTTCAGTGTGTTTCCGTAGTTCAGTGTAGCGAGAAACAGGGTGTATCGTGCAATGGGCATAGTTTGTGTCGACTCTCTATCGTGCACCCTGACCCATCCCGACTTCAGCCCGGAAAATATTTAATTATGAGCTTGGGCTGCCCCGGAGTGGTTGCGACAGACCACCCAACCGAAGAGAATTTTTCATGTTGCCTCGTTTTGTAACAGTGCCTAGCAGTAATGCACAGTACCGGCGCAATGGCTACTTGTGGGATACAGGCCTGGTGCTAAATATGATTCAACAGCAATATCTAGAGCTGATTGGTGACGTCAATACAGAAGAGTTGAGCACCGTGCGGCTTTTGTGAACCATAGTGTGACAACAATTCTTGGGCAGCCCATTTGCTTCTTGCATACTAAACAAGTTTCTCGTTAACTAGTACAGTGCAGTTTGTACAAATGTTCTCGTTTATAGTCCGACGGATCAACATCGCCGCGCTCGGACTATGTGCGAAAACCTTCAAACCCCAGGCAAAACGCGATACTTATAGTCCCGTTCAAGAAAATTGCATAAAGAGTGGTTGTTTTGCTACTATTTTCTGTATTGTGGCATTTACGTAGATTTGGACCGCGCTTGCTTCAACTTCCAGTCGCACGGTTTTCCACGCTGATCAATGTCGCATGAATAACGGGCAAAACTAAACAAAATCAACTATGGTTTTGGGGTCGAATAGTAACCCAAAACTTTTTTTACCCTGTAATCGAAATAAAAAAGATGTCATTGTCGATCGCGCTTGAGACAGCGCGACAGGATTGAGAAGAAGTCGCCGTCAAGAGTAACAATCACTTACCATCTAAAAGTTAAAATTTCGAATCGATGATCCCTTCTTCATCGTTTTTCTTGAATGTTGGGCTGGTTTGATCTGGAGCCTCTGATTGGCTGTGGAGCTGATTCGTGCAATGATTCGGTCAAGCTGCAAAATTTCCCGCCAAAAAAAGGACTATAGGGTACGGGCCAACCCTAGGAGATATCGGAAAATTCTACTCAGGGGGCAAAAGGGACTCTCTCAGCGAGGGCCTCTAACCCGGAACATTTGTATGTCGAAGCTGCTGACCCTTGCCTTTGTTTTGTCTCAAATACCCTGACTAAGTGCTGGTCTGTTGCGATCGACGAAAGCCTCTCAAGAACGTTCGGCCCTTCGGTGAGATTGCATCATTCCCAGGTGGATTTGGTTGTTGTAGCTTTTGTACTTTTCTCGATGAAACCTGACCAAAATCTATCAAAAGAAAGCAGATCCAGTGAAATTCCACGTAGACTCTGCTCTGAGTGGTGGGAAATTCCAACTCTCATGATAACTCCTCCTAGCTGGAACTCTGACGTCATCATTCTGCTCATCCTTCCATCCATGTGGAATTATTCTATTCGCTAAAAGTCGAGCAGGACGAAGGGACACCGTCCGTCACGCCTGCGACGAATTGAGCGGCCTGCTTCCTGCCCCAGGGGACTCGCTCGCGCCAGCTCAGTCGCGCTGCGTGGCGGAATTGACGTTCCACATTCGATGTCACTCTCTCACGCCCAAGCAGAGGTTGGGAGCACTTGCATTCATCTGCTTCGTTCATATTGCTGCTCTCCTGTCATCTCTCTGTGCTGACCCTCTGATGCCGCGCACATTCCACCAGCCTTCAACTCCCATCTTGAAAGTCTCGCACTGGTGCTATTCATGCGTTGTGGTTTAGCAGCTTTGCTCGATTCTCCTCCAACTCATGGTAGCCCTTGACCGTATCCCTGCTGCCCACTTCCACATGGCGTCCTTTCCAAGAGACCTCTGCCGCTGCGGAACGAGGCCATTCGACACTCTACCTGTAAGGTCTCCCATCCATGGTGTTGACTCTTATTTGAATTGACTACGTCTGTCATCTGAATAGTGAATCATCGCTATTGAATTCCTCTCGCAGCATTTATCTCTACAGGATCTTATTTTCCTTCGTGCCCTGCTCGGCGCCCTGCTCTCCTTTTTGTCTTTCTACTCTCCAAACCACAGGACGAGCTGATTTCGGCAATACTGGCAAAAGTCGTGGCGACTTCCACCAGTCCCGCTTGCTTGGCGTTCCTTCGATCCGTGTAAGTCCCTGAACCCACGCCCACTGTCTGCTTAGCACTCGCTGTGCTCACTCCTGCAACTCTACCTGCATCGTGGCGTATCACAAGACTTCACGCAGTTGCCGGCCTATCACGGATTCTTACCAGCCCATCGAGTCCCATCGAAAGCATCTCGTCATTCTCGTCTTCCTCACCATCCTCATCTCCTTCGTCCGTCGCCTGCAGCTCGCGGCGTTTTTACCGCCTCATGGCCGATCCCACCGTGCTGCGCTGCGTGGCGCCGCGCGCGCTGCTTCCGCATCCGGCCGCGTGGGCCGCGCAGACCTCCTGCTCCGCACCGCCGCAACCCTCACCAGCGTCGACGTTAGCACCGCCAGCGCCGTCACCGTCAACACCGGCGTCGCCACCGTCAGCGTCAACCACAACCCTTGCCGGCCGCTCCGCGAGTCGGTTCATGCTCTTATGCGGCCTGGCGGGAAATGTGGACGCGCTCTTTCTGCTGGGCATGGTACGTCCTGTCGCCTCATGACGAGCGGGGAAATTGCGACGAGGGGAAGTTCGTCACGATGACGAGCAGCGGGCTGCGGCACGCCGTGCTGTGCCGTGGCGATTGTTGCTACTAGTAGTTAGTTCCCGCTGCGTTGCTGATAGCATCGTTCCTTAGGTCGTGGCTCTGTGGTCTGTCTTCATAGCGTGCCTAGAACTACTAGTACTAGTAGCACGGCTCACGAGCCGCGCTGCTGTGCGGTAACAGGCTCTTGGAGAGCCTGTTATTGCACTTCCCTTGGAGGCTCCAATTTTCCCATCCTCTAGATCTTGCAACACGCGCGTTCGTCGTTTCTCCCGCCCGGCCTTGCTTCGCCGTCTAAGCCTCGTGTCTCCACGTGCCATGACCGAGTCTGACTGTACGATTATGCGACTGTGCGACTGTGCGACTGTGCGATTGTGCAGATCAAGTTCTACTGCCAGCGGGACTCGCGGTCGGGCGCGTGCCTACTCGTGCGCGCGGCGGAGGAGGGCCACGTGGGCGCGCTGCACGCGCTCGCCGCCATCAACGCGCACGGCAGCGGCGGAAGCGCAGCGGACGCCAACCCCGCCGTCGCCGCGGAGGTGCTGTGGCACGCGGCGGTCCGCGGAAGCCGGTCTGCGCTGCAAGAGCTTGGCCACTCGTACCTGGTAAGACCAACAATCCCGTTCCGCCGATTCCGTTCATTCCCCTCCCGCCGTTCCCCTCTGTTCCTCCTGCCGCTTTCCCCGCACGTTTCACCCAGTGACGAGTTCACTGCCAAGCTGATTCTCGGGGCTTGTGGCATCCGCGGCGCCTTTATCGTCGTGCTTATTCTAACCCTGCCCCGGCTTGCTGCCCTGCTTGTCCCCTTGCTCTGCACGTGTCTCCACGCAGGACGGCTATGGCGTCAGGAAGAACGTAGCCCTGGGAGTGAAGCTGCTGCTACTCGCCACCTCATCCGCATCTCCATCCTTCTTGGCATCATCTCCACCGTCCGTTTCGCCTCAACAGCACGTCGACACCAGCTCCCACGCGGTCTTCCCAGGGAGACCCACTAGCAGGCCTTTGGAGTCTCCTAGAGTGGCACTGGAAGAGACATTGAACAGCCTGAGTGGAAGCTTACAGGAAATGGTGTACGAGCATGAGGCGCGAGCGCGGGCAGAAGCAGGTGGGGTCCACTTCAGTAGTGAGGAGGTGGGATTCAACAGAGGCGCTCCTGCTGCCACTGCTGCACAGCCGGGGCAATCAGTAGGAGGAGCCATGGGCGGATGGTTCTGCGACGCCCAGGTGTCTTCTGCCGTGGTTGGCGCTGGTGTCACGGAGTTGCTTGCGATTCATGGTGAATCAGTACATGACGCTGCCCCTGCTGATGCTTCCAGTGACTTTGGTGACTCAGGTGATCTGCGTGAGTCCGGTGCTTGTGGTAATGGATATTCAGTGGCGGAGGTGGCAGCTTGGAAGGGTAACAGCAGGATTGATCGACCAGGGGAGAACGCGATGAGGGATTGCGGGAGGGAGGGAGGGCAAGGCCAGGCAGAAGCAGATGAGTGTGTATTGATGCCACTGTGGGGTGCTGGAGCAGAGGGTTGCAGTGACAGACCAAGCACTGCCAACAGCAGCAGCCGTGGCAGAAGCAGGTCTCAACAGTCTCACGAAAGCCTCCATATTCATCATTCCCCGTCTCATTCCCCATCAGCACTTCCACCGACCCCCCTGGCATTGCCGCAGCAGAACTGCCTGGCTCACACAGCAGGAATGGAACCATCACAAGCAGCAACCCTCCCCAGTGGTAACAGCGAAGCAGTAGCACCTACTGACAAGCCAAGCTCCCCCTTGGTCTCCGTCATCACCTGTCAAGCTGGCTGCCACTTGACTGTCTCCATTACCCTGAACGTTTCCCCTACGCCAGTGCAGCAGGTCGGCTCGATAAGCCTCTTCTCGCCTATTGAGCGCGGCACGTTTCAGCAAGAGCAGCTGCCATACCAGGTGATAGTTCCATTTATGAGGGAGTGGGCAGCGTTGTTTGGACTTCCTGATGGGCGGCAGATGTGCTCCAATTGGGAATGCAGCCGGCCAGAGACGAGGCCACAGGAGTTCCGCTGCTGCGTTGTTTGTGAGAGGGCCCCTTATTGCAGCCGCACTTGCCAGGTCGCAGACTGGAAAACAAGACACTTCCGGGAGTGTGCCGCCTTTCGAACAACATCCTCGTCTTTGATGTAACTTATTCTGCACTGTGGATAGTGTCATTCCATTCAATTCCATTTATACATGTTGAGGGGCGAGGATTCCGTCATCCTCAATCATGGCGCTCCATGGTGAGTCATCTGTGCTTCTGATAAATTTGGCAGCAACTAGGCTCGTGATGCTATAGTCTAGATGTGTTAGTATGGTTCTTGTGCTTTAGGGTTTTTTTGTTATTTTGTCATTGGTGTTATTTATTATTTGATTTTTTCAATCATTTCTGCTAGGATAAGAACAACGTTTATGAGTGTTAGGCCCATTGGCCTGAATCCACTAAAGAATAGCGGGGTCGACTAAGTCGAGGATAAAACGCGGTGGAAGATTTTGGCAAAAGAACTATAGGCGAAATAGGCGAAGATGTTACTGAGTAATTGAAGAGTTGAATAAGAATTGGTTGATATGAGGGAATACAAGCAAGGTTGATATAGCATGAAAGAGAAATTGTGGGAAAGTGGGTTGTGGGACTAGGAACTAGAAGGCAAAGAAAATAGAGTGAGTTGGAAATCTAGGAAAATAAGGATAAGGGTGAGTTGGAAAGTACTGTTCAAAGTGAACAGTAAATCCCCCCTTAACACTACCCCCCTCCCAAGTCGTGTGCGGCTTGGACGTGTGCCGGTGTGGTAGGCTGCTGTGGTGTGAGTGGTTCCCGTACGTAACAGAGGAAGAAAGGAGTTTTCCATGTGGCCGCATGTGATGCGTTGTTGTAAGCAAACTCCAGGGTCGGTAACTGTGTGTCCCAGTGGCTGACGTCGTCCTTGCAAGCTGTGCGCAGTAACTGTTCAACCACTTGATTGAGTCGCTCTGTCTGTCCGTCAGTCTGTGGGTGGTATGCTGAGGACATTGCAAGTTTGGTCCCCAATAATCCCATGAGCTCCTTCCAGAACTTACTTGTGAATTTGGGGTCTCTGTCTGAGATTAGTGTAGCGGGGATGCCGTGGATGGTGATGATGCGGTCGAAGAAGAGGCGAGCAGTTGCTTCAGCTGTAGCTGTGGCGTTGGTCGGTATGAAATGACCCATTTTGGAGAACTTATCGATCACCACGAGGATGGAGTCGTGCCCCCGTGAGGTCGAAGGAAGTCCTGTGATGAAGTCGAGGCTAACGACCTGCCATGGCTGCTCCGGTACGGGTAGAGGCTGAAGTAACCCTGCTTTTTTCTGCTTGTAGTAGTTGGCGAAGCCTAGGAACTGCTACAACTCCTTCACGTTCTCCGGTACTTTCCATTTCTTGACGGCTTCGATCTTCCGCGGGTCCACGTATACGCCCTCGGCACTGTGAGAGTACGACGGCTTATGCCAGCTATGCTTGCTTGCCTTTACTTTATTATGCTATTTCTAGCATAGGAGAATTATATACATGCATGAATTGCTTGATTTCCTAGGCTAGGTGCTTTCCTATATTTTATTATAGTTATAGCACCGAGCTAGGTTGCGTGCACCGAATTCTGGCTCTTCGGTTGCCACCGAATTGCCTTCTACCGAATTCGGGAAGGATCTGTTCGGGACGCTTCGCGACCCGCGGAACCTTCGCGTAACACCTGGTTACGGGGCCTTGTGTCGAGCATATATATAGCCTCGTGTTGTACCCAGGTGATCATTAAATTCACATTCTCTTTTCTGAGCTCGATCCTAGATCCTCACACTTGGTAATCAGAGCCCGTTTACACGCGAAGTTCTTTCGACCGCTACAAACCAGTCTTAAAAAAACCGCGGGGGCGACGCAGTTAAATATCGATATCGGGTACGTAAAACCGGTTCCGTGTTTTTCGCTCCCCCTCGATTCGGTTTTTCGGACGCGTTGATATCAGGCATGGAAGGCCAAGGCGACAACTACGCGACCACGAGCGACATCGCGAGCCTCCGCACCGACATGGAGCAGACGCAGGCGACGCTTCGTCGACTCGAGGCTTTTCTGACAAGCCAACCAGGGTTCGCCACCGCAGCAGCAGCGACCGCAGCGACTGCAACACCGACAACTCCAGCAGCAGTGGCGACACCAACGCGTCCGATCCAAGCGCGAAGGGATCCGACGTCCGGCGATTTGTGGCCACCCTCGAAATTTATTTCGAGGCCATTGGCTGTTCGACCCCGCAACACGACGCAGCAAGGATTCGGCTCGCAGCGACACTGTTACGTGGACCGGCTCTCGAATGGATTTACTACACCGACGTAGCCCGCGGGGAGAAAACGTGGCAGCAGTTTCGGGCAGATTTAATCGAGCGTTTCGAACCAATTAATACGACCTACATGGCGCGGCAGCAGATACACCGACACAAGCAATACAGTAGTGTAGCACAGTACACGCAGCAGATGGAGTTACTGTTCAACCGCATCACCGACCTGACCGAAGGCGAAAAAATCCAGGCGTACACCGAAGGGTTAAAAATGGAGATTCGGCGGCAGGTGATTGCGGCGAATTACAACAGCTACATGGACATCGTGCATGCTGCCGAGCGATACGACGCGCTGACTCGAGGTCAACCCGAAACACGACGCTTCACGCCGAACCGTACATTCGGCACGGAGCGATCGGCACCCCCCACGTTCGCCGAACCGATGGATATCGACAAATACGACGCGAAGCAGCAGCCGACAAAATGCGAATTTTGCGGCGCAGCAGGGCATCAGTTTTTGTCGTGCTACAAAATGAAGAAAGCACGTGCGGCACTCCGGGACGGAAACAGTGGAGCACCCCCGAAGTAAAAAAACGGGAATCGCCAGTAGCCGCGGATCGACCTGGCGATCGCGTAAAGATCCGAAAAGCAGGAAAAGGCGACGACGTGGCGACTTCGGAGCGGGCGAAAAAAGGAGAAAATGATGGCGCGAATAAAAAACGTCACGACCGGCCGGCATCAGGGGAAATCGCCGAGGCGAATGGAGGCTCCGCGAAAAAAGACTCTGCACCGACCGGGAAACTCCAGCCGAACACCCACGAAAGTAAGAATTCGTTAAAAGTATCCTATAAAGATACTCTAACGAAGAATATTGCTTCTCGTGGTTTTCAAGCCTTTGAAAAAATCAGGGGAGGTTTAGAGGCCAAGAAAAAGCCTTTAGAAATCATTCAGGTACCTGAGAAGTTGGGCAAAGTACTACGGAGCGTAGAAAAATGTCGTGCGTTCCGTGGAGTTAATATTCTCTCCCCGCAGCACAGTGTTAAGGCTCCTCGTTGCCCACAGGTGAAGCCTACACATCTGCCAAGGCTTAGAGGAGGCATCCAGGCTCAGGAGAAAATATACAAGCCTCGGAAAAATCCTCCCACCCCCCAGGTGAAGTTGGAAAGTGCTGAGTCGGGTATAGGAAAAAGGGAAGGTATTAAGTTTGATGTACCCTATGATCCTATTAATGAGACCCTCTTTGGCTACTCAGCGCAGCAGAAACCACTACTCCTCGAGGTGTTATGCAATGGACGACGCCTCCAGGCACTGGTGGACAACGGTGCATCTCACTCGGTGTGTGACCGCGGAGCATTGGAGAAAATTGGAGAGAAGGCAGAGGAGACCCAGTTTTCAGCAACCATGGTGGACGGTACGAAACTTCCTATCCACGGCGAAGCATCACTGCAGCTGCATATAGGTGCGTTGAGGTGGAAGCCGAAGCTACCAGTCACCAACATCAAAGGGTTAGATTTTATCTTGGGGCGAGATTTTCTGAAGCGGTTCAACCCCGAGATCGATTGGATCAACAGCAAGGTGTGCATCTACAACAACAGGAAACGGATAGCACTACGAAGCTGGACGGATACAGGGGACGTACCTGAGACGACACTGGCACGGTTCGAACAGACAGTGAACGAGAGTAACACGGGTTACCTAGCACTGGTCATGGCAGCAGCAGAGGAGGAGAAGCCGAGTTCCGAGCTCCCTGCAGCAGTGAAGGAGGTCTTGGAGCAGTACAAAGATATAATGCCCGACGACCTACCTGCAGGCGTACCTCCAGCACGCACCCACGAGCATGAGATCGTGGAGGAACCAGGTGCGAAACCCGTCTCACGTGCACCATACCGACTGAGTCCGACCGAACTAACAGACATGAAGAAACAGATAGAGTATCTACTGGACAGACAACTGATCCGCCCATCCACCTCTCCCTACGGTGCACCAGTTCTCTTCACTCCAAAACCAGACGGCAGCTTACGGATGTGCATCGACTACCGCGCACTGAACAAACAGACAGTTAAAAACAAATACCCCATACCGCGCATCGACGACTTACTGGACCAACTGCGTGGTGCAACAGTCTTCTCGAAGCTGGACCTACGGTCGGGTTACTGGCAGATCAAGATGGCGGACAACTCGATCCACAAGACGGCGTTCCGTACTCGATACGGCTCCTACGAATACTTGGTGATGCCGTTCGGACTCTGCAACGCACCAGCAACGTTCCAGGCGGAAATGAACCATATTCTACGGCCCCTGCTGGACGAGTGCGTGGTGGTGTACCTGGACGATATCCTCATCTACTCCAAGAACATGAAGGAGCACGTGGAGCATCTGCGAAAGGTGTTCGAGATCCTGCGGAAAAACAAGTTCTACGTGAAACTGTCAAAGAGCGACTTCGCCCTGAAGAAG